TATAAACATTGAGAAAGGTATTTATTCGTAAGTGTCTGAATAGCTCAGTTGGAAGAGCAGTCGCCCGGCAAGCGGAAGGTCTCGGGTTCGAGTCCCGATTCAGCCGACTTTCGGACCAATATTTTTCTCGCCTATTTCTTTACAGGGGATGTTAAGAGAAGGAACAGGGGGAATTTTTGAGATCCCAACCATAGGATTCGAATTCCTTTCCAAAAATGTTCTTTCCTTCATAATTGTCGCAATAACATCGCGTTTGGCTCTATTGGTCGAGAGGAATCAAGTGGAGATTGTGGCATTAAAAAACAATTATTTATAAACATTTATAATAAAATTACATCTAATTAAAGACATAATAAACTTAATTATTTAAGAAATGGAGACACATTTAAAACTATTATATATAAAATCAAACAGAATGTATAACATAATAAAAGATAATTAATTTTATATTAGATAGAATGCGTGTGCGTTTGTATGTGTGTGTATGTCAGTGTTGTGACAAGTATAATATTTAATTATAAAACGTTTAATGTAATTTTGAATTAAAGTTGACTACGCATGTACACAAACAATTCATAATATATATAATTAGAGTAATAATATATATAATTAGAGTTATAATAAGCAAGAAGTAACTAATTTTTAATTTTTAATTTTTAATTTTTACATATACATATGTGGATTTCTATTTTATAATATAAAATTTCTTTTTAAATTCAGTTTATAGTAACAAATATTAAATAACTTGGAGAAGATGGACACGATCATGGCCAGACTGATAGCCTTTCGCCGACTAACGATGAGTGATTGGTTTGGACGAATGTTTAAGTGCCACTTCGAGGTTTTAATAATTTTAAAATATTTATTGATTAGCCGGATGAATTATTTTAATTCGATTTTTGCTTCTAATTGGGACTTTTCGTGTTGAACTATTTTTAATTATTTTAATTTATTGTTAACGTATTTCGTATTTTAATTTTGACATAATTATCTAATTTATTTTGACTATTGTATTGCGACTTTTTATTAGAATGTTTATTATTATTGTTTTATTGCGCACTGAAGAAGACTAAGTATAGTTTGAAACGTTTGTAATTAAGAATATTAGAGTTTGTATTATAATTGGTTTTTTTTTAATTAAAATTTTTCCAAGTTTAAAATAATTTTTTATTGCTCGTTTCACATAGCCTCGTAATATTTAGTAAGTTATCATTGTGTTTGTTTACATACGAGCTTGAACATTGTTAGAGATTAGGTGAATTTGTATTATTTTTTCATTGTATTAGAGTTAATTAGAGTAATTATTTCTCAAGTATTGTGAGCTGCTATAGCACCGTCATGCGGATAAATTCGTGCTAGCATTCTATTCGACAAGTAATGCGTACCTGTGATTTTATAAAAGCGACGACCAATGTTGCTATTATCGATACATATCGGACTTGTAAGGGTTATATTATCTAAAATAAAACAAAATGCAAAATGCAAATTTTATGATCTCTAAAATAAAGAAAATAAATAAAATAAGATAATAACTAAATAATTATAATTATGTAATTTAAATATAATAAATGTAATAATTAAATAGAGAAACAAAATAAAATAAGATAAAATATTATTTCATATTGCATACGAAGATATATGAACTAGTATAATAAACAATTATAAAACCAAATTTAGTATATAAAAGGCCATCGAGCATTATTAGATGATATAAACCAAGTATTTATTTTATATAAGATAATACAGTACAAACGTTTCGACCGCACGCGGTCTTCTTTAGTATAGAAATTTAAAGTAGATGATCATAAGTGATTGTAAGTCGCAATTTTATCGCCGAATTAGTGCATGTCATGTTAAGTCAAATTACAAAACGTCAGTATATTTCTTACGGATTGATCGCTCTATTCAAATGTTTGGCCGATCCCATTGATTTTATCGTTGGTATGCGAAAAATTATTATTGTCATAACGCATTGTAATGTTTGTCGCTTCTCAACTAGACCGTAACATAACTTCTCATTTCCAAATGTACTCATTTTGTAATTATGTGTGTTTATATAGTTTAAGTGTGTTTAGGATTTTAACAAACTGTTTTTCTTATGTGTTTTTTTATTATTACATGTTTGCTGGTTTTTCCAATATATCAAAATAAGATTTGCTAAGCAATTCGGTATCTCTATTTAGGTTTAACCCATTTTTTTGTTCCTTAATGTGTAACATCTTGGAAATGAGTCTTTTATGATAATTAGTTTCACTGTCTAAAATTTTAACGTTGTTCCAATCAAAAGAATGATGTTCATTTGATATGTGATCAGAGATTATTGAATATCTTGTCGAATCTAACTTTATGTTATTCACGTGTTCTTTCATTTTAGTCTGCAATTGTCTCTTCGTTTGGCCCACATAAGAAGCGTTGCAATCTTTACAAATGATCTTATAGGCTACATTTGACGTACATAGCTGTTCATTTTTATCTTTTTGCGTCTTAATAATTTTATCGAGTTTATTGATACATCTGTATCCTGTTATGAGTTCCGTATTTTTTACCGAAGAGACAATCATTTCTGAAATTTTATTGATATATGGGATAACAAAGAACTTTTTTGGCACTGATTCTTTTTCTGAGTTGCCTATTTGTCTTTTACTGTGTCTATTTAATTTTTTAAATTTAAATACCTCATATGAGAAAAATTATTAAATGAATAAAATGAGAACTTATACATATGCAGGTATATATGCTTTTATTAAATTAACACAAAATAACTTTTTTAATTATTTATTTCTTTCGTCTGTAGAGACGCTTTTCAATAACTGCTTTAATAAACTAATCAATTCAAATTTTTCTACAGGCTTAATAAATTATTCTGACTACAAAGTTAATGTACTGAAGCGTTATATTGAGTATACAGTAATAAAAAAAAATTGCGCCAAGTGAAAGTAGAAACTTGTACCAGTGGAAAATTAAAGTTGCAGACATATATAGAGTCGTATAATGAATCAGTAAAAATTTAAATTTGCAAATGTAGAATCGTACCATAAAAAAACTTATCTTTTAAAAAAAAAGATAAACAAGATGCCAAGTCCATGCGCCATGTGAAAAAGAAATCAAAAAATTTTAGTTAAAAAAACTGGGCGCGCTGCTAAGTTTCAAAATTACAATGCACCTTAAAGTAACATTAATTAATTTAAACACAAAACATATTTTAACTGTAATGAGTTTAAAAGTAACAATTTAATTTTAATATTGTTAGAATATTATTTAGCAGCGCTCCCAGTTTTTTTAACTAAAATTTTTTATTTCTTTTTCACATGGCGCATGGATTTGGCATCTTGTTTATCTTTTTTTTAAAAGATAAGTTTTTTTATGGTACGATTCTACATTTGCAAATTTAAATTTTTACTGATTCATTATACGACTCTATATATGTCTGCAACTTTAATTTTCCACTGGTACAAGTTTCTACTTTCACTTGGCGCAATTTTTTTTATTTCATTACTTTTGTTACGATTGTACATGGGTTTATAATCGATAATTTTTTATACAATTCTATTGTACATGGGTTTGCAATGTAGGATTCTACATAAGTTTGCAATGGATAATTTTTAATACAATTCTACATGGGTTTGCAATGGTTAATTTTTCATAGGATTCTACATGAGTTTGCAATGGTTAATTTTTCATAGGATTCTACATAGGTTTGCAATGGGTACGATTCTACATGGGTTTGCAATGGTTAATTTTGCCTAGGATTCTACATGGGTTTGCAATGATTAATTTTTCATAGGATTCTACATGGGTTTGCAATAGGATAGGATTCTACATGGGTTTGCAATGGTTGAGTATACAGTGATAAAGAAATATTCGCAATTCGTTGTCCTGAAAAATTTACATATAAATTTGGGATACAACTAAGAGATAAATATATACATTTTAGTCATATTTTTGGTAATATTTGGCACATTTTATGTCTAGATGTGTGTATATGTATGTGTATACGCGTGCATTCGTGCGAATATACATGCGGGGTAAGTGTGCATACATGCATGCGTGAGTGTTGCGTGTTTGTTTGTTTGCGTGTAAGAGGCCCTTCTCTGCTGATACACACATGCACACACTCATATATATCACAATTTACTAAAATTAATTCTTTAAAAACATTGAGGAATCTTGAAAATTAGTTTTAATAAAATTTAACGCACATTACATTACATACACATGTATTGAAAGATACTTATTTATATTAAATGGCGTGAGTATGTGTTAGAATTATAAAATAAAATATTTAACTATAAACTTTTTAATGTAATCTTGAATCAAAATTTTATATGTATATTTATATTCTTTTAAAATAATTTATATATTATTATTTTTGTATGCGTTATGTTTATATTATTTTTGTATTTTGTATTTTTTTTATATAATAGTATTTTTGCATATCTTACGTGTAAATTTTGTGCAATTTCCACGAGTGACGTAAGACAAAGTATTTAAAATTTCTTCTTATTACATTTTTTTATTACCCAATTTTATTACACTTTCTTTATATCAGATGCATTTTTTGCAATAAACTAAAAATTAATCGAAATATCAAAATATATATTAAAACAAGCAAAATGTTATTAAAGAAGTCATTAAGTATAAATATCTGAAAACATTAATGAACATTTTTTGCAATTACATGTTTTGTGTAATTTTTCGGTTTATATTAAAAATGTATAAAGTTTATAAAAGACAGTTTATACAAAAAATTTATAAAATTTAATAAAAAATTAGAATTTAAATATAATTGATTATTTGTAAAAAGTAATTAAATAATGAAAATTAGAATTAATATACACACATATATATATATATATATATACATATATATATATATATATATATACATATATATATATATATATATATATATATATATATATATATATACATATATATATATAAATATTTAAAAAATTATTTTAATTGTGAAAAATATTTTAAAAGTTCCTATTTTCTATTTCCTATTTTAAATGAGTTTCTAAAAAGCATTTTGCATTCTTAAATGGAAAGCTTGCATTTATTTCGCATTTTCTATTATAAATGCGGGTTTCGACCCCCATTTTGTATATCCCAGCTTCCTCCCTAAATCAATTTGATTTTGATAATAAACATTATAAGATGGATCAAATATAAATCAATTTGATTTTGATAATAATCGATTCGTTATAAGACAGAGCAAACATAATACACGATTTTCATAAAACGTGTCTATATAAGAATGATAGAAAATACTGCTCGCCTTGAAAAACTATGGCATCTTATGTTATTAATATACACAAAATTAAATATATGCTAAATGAAATGAATTACAATACAAAGAATCTGAGAAACAATCAAAGATCAAACAATGTTTCATCTATTTCTATCTCGGCTCTTGTAGCGGCGTTATACGGATAAATTTTTGCTAACATTTTATTTGGCACATAATGCGTGCCTTCGAATTTACAAAAATAGCGACCTATTTCGTTATTATCGATCCATTTCGGTGTTGTTAAAGTTATAGCGTCTGCAATAAAAAAAAATTAATAAATTTATAATCTCTAAGAGAAAGAAAAGATAATAAATAAAATGAATAATAAAGAAATTATAATAAATATAAAATATATAATAATTAAATAACGGAAACAAAATAAAGTATTATTTTATATCCCAGAAAATATTTTGCGCGCAAATACCTAGACATTGCATATTTCACTGGCATATTTTGGCAATTTCATATGCAGTTGCACGTAATTTGCTGGTATATTAAATAATATATAAGCTAAACATTTGCGTGCAATATGCTAAATATATCTCACATGCAAAACTCAAGCAAATCTCGTACACAGTTTATACGCATAATGCACGCAAATACTGTTATCAGGGATTACATACAAAGAAGTTAGCTTCGTATACTAAACAAATATAATTTAAAAAAAGGTTTGTATACATATAATGATGCTCATACCTTCTTCTACTTTACAAAGTCTATTATCTTCAGTGAGAATAGTGTAATATATTTGTCGCTGTACAAATTTATTTGTTGCTGTAAATTTACGAAAAAATTGATACAACAACATTACAAATCGATTCACCTTCCTTGTATTGTCTAAGTTCTGTGTATCGTCTAAAGAGATTGTATCACTTCTATCAATATCAAATCTGTCCCATCCGACGATCACACCCACCTCTTTACCTATAATTATAATTATATAATTATATCTAATCTATAATAAAATTCAATCTATATTCATAATATAATAACTATATATGATTGATCACCATGTTTAACTATCATTCCAACTGCAAACCTTACATTCTCTGGCATTCTATATGATTTCTTTTTTTTTAACCATTCATTTCGTAGATAATACTAAAAAAAATAATATCTAACTTGATTTGCTTTTTCTTTTTATACAATTCGTAAATATTGCCTTTTTTGGCAATCAGTTTGCTACCTGAACAGTGTTAACATACCTGATGATTTGATATTTTACATGAATTATAAAAAGTAAAAATTCCATGTGTTCCATCTACGTTCTCCAACCAATAATGAAAGCGCTGTACTAATAAGGACAACATCTGAAAAAAAAATTTAAACTTATACAAAAATAAAATGGAATCTGATTATAAAAATAAAAAATATGAAAGCCTAGAATGTGTAATAATCCCTGCTGCCTATTATCACGTGTAAAGCATATTTCATTGATTAATCTATCGTTGTCGAAGTTATATAAGTAAATCACAATTAGTGTTAACAGAAATCATATTGGCAAAAAAATGTATAAAATTGTCAACCTCTTCAGATGTTGGTATAGCCAAAGTATTTTCTCGGTTCATAAGCAATTGTATGTGAAAACGTTTCGGGATTTCTTCAAAGGTTATATCGTAACATCTTGCATTTTCAAACCTATTCCTAGCACTGCGAACAATATAAAATTATAATATATGTGTGTATGCAATATATTAGAAATGCCGAAATGTTCACCTAATTTCAAATCTAATTTATACTTACTAGTTTGGCATCCAAAATATATAGTATTCGTCAATTGCTAACTCTTCCTTAATTAAAACGCAACGTAAACCAAGTCTCCTGGTCACGCTTTCATATATTATTAATAAAATTATTTTCTGGCCACATTTATTTTTTAACACCTTTGTCAATATTACAATACAACATTAATTTGTGCGACAGTAATTTTAAGATATAACAAACATGGCCATGCGCGCAGCATGTTAAAAGAGTTGGTTATAATATATTTTAATGAATATATTATATTCAAATAAATTTAAATTTTATTATCGATAGAAATAACTTACGTTATCTATACAAAGGTTTTCCACATTTCTGTCTGTCTCTTGGCATAGTCGAAAGTTTAATTTACCAAAAATATATTCCTCGATTGTATCCATAATCTGCGTACTTTCTGCTTCGTCCCAATGATTATCACCGATATTGTTGTTTCTCCAATAGGAAAAAGTTTCAGCCGACGTCGAGAATATCGAATGGTTGGGATGTTTTTCTCTAAGACAATTTAAAACTGCTTCTGCAATGCTATCTAATGATGATTTTACATATTCGTAACATATATCCTTTTCAGGTTGCATGCGTTGAATCGTAATAGTTGCAACTTCTTCCATTAGTTGCTTTCTTCGAGATTTCTTTCTGAATTTTTTCAATTTCTCTCTCACAAAGCATAGACTCATATAGAGAAATAATTCTTTATTGATATATATTTCAGTTAGATCGCAATCAATTCTCCTAAAAAATTATCATATTAATTGTATGATAATTATACATACATTAGGCTACAAATAGAACGATAATATGTGTATACATATATATATATATATATATATATATATATTATTGTATATATTAAAAATTCTATACCGTGAAAATTGTGTATAGAACTTTTTCAATTCATCTTTGAAAAAATAATATTTTATGGTGTTTTCAGGTTTATAAATAATTTCATCAAATTTATCTGTACAAAATATTTCGTCAAATCCTCTTCTATTATTGAGTGAATCGTAATTATAGTTATGTATAATTTCAGATATACAATTTTTTAATTCTCTCATACAAATTACGCCTGTTTTTATAAAAATTACGATTTTTTTATCCTTTCCTTCGTTCTCTTCAAATTCATTCTCATTTTCCTTAGAGTGTGTGTCATAAAGTTTCTTTACAGAAGACCATCTGCATTAAGATAAAATATATTTTAATAATTCTTTGTAAATTTGTTTGACAAAATTCTCATAATATGTATTGACTCTGTAATGTAAAGGTGATCTTCGAAGGAAGTTTTAACGGAGAATACGGAAAAAACGTCGAAAATTTCACAATCAAAAGATATCATGAATAAATTTAATTAAATTGTATATTATTAAATTGTAAATTATAAAATAATTAATTTACAGAAAGAGAGCAACCTGATTTACTTCATAACCTTTACCTTGATATATTATTAAGAGATCATCGATTTGAATTATCCATACATAAATTATTCTCTTTCTGTGTAATTCTCTATTTAATAAATTTTATTAATTTTATTAATATGTTTTGTAAATAATTGAAATTATTATTATATCTTTAAAATTATATATTTATTCTAAAATTTTTGTATTAGTTTTCCCAAGTTTACCGTCAAAAATGTCTTCACATAATTCAGAGTCAAAATGTGAGGAAGCGATAAAGTTATAAAAATTTTACTCGTTTTAAAATTATTACTAGTCTAATTATTTATTTTTATAAATTTTATATTTTAATATTTTATATGTACTCTACTCTTATAAAATACATTCTTCGCATAAATAATAAATTGTGCAGTTAATATAAAAAAAAATTATAAAATAGCAAATAATAAGTATTACCTCTGAAGATATTTTCTTTCCTTAAAACTGTTATATTTGGCTGCAAACTGGAAACGTTTGCACACACATCTGAAGCTAATTATGTCTTCAATTGTGATATCACTGGACCCAAGAATAATATCTATCACCTCGTTAGGTAAATCCATTATAGTCGTCATTATAAAAAAATTTTAGTAAAACACGAGGCTGTAATAGAAATTTAAATAGCAACAAACTATTTGTGTAATTAATTTTTTGCTGGCAAAAATACGAAATTTGCAATATGTGATACTGCATACGTATTTAACAATTGCAAAAAGTACAAGCACGTGTTTCACCTGATCACTACATATAGTTTCCACGACTGAGTGTGGATTGTAAGACGTCCCAGCCAGAAATGATAGTTAAATCGACGTCGAATCGACGTGGAATTGATGTCGAATCGATGTCAAATTGGTCGAATCGATATCGATTCGACGTCTTTTCGACCGATTATTTACTGACTGAGGTTGGTCAGGCATTGGTCAGGTAAAAATTTTAAAATAAGAATAACTCTAAAATTTTTACCTGACCAACGCAACGGTCTGGACCTTATGCCTCACTATAGATCCTTTTTCCATGGCGCTGTATAGTCACAAAAGGAAAACGGAATTCAAAAACAGATGACACAAATATTTTCTTTCTACATTTGCGTTCTAAAAATAGAAAAAGATAGAGAAATACAGAATAGCAATATACAATTTAGATTCTTAAAGATATTCTATTGTAAATCGAGGCAATACTATGTTAGACAAACAAATTTGTTCAGGCTGTACAATTAGCGTCAGCAGTAAATGCTCTTATTATTTTACCAACAAAATTTTATAACAATTAAAAATATCTTTTAAAACCTCATATGAGGAAAATTATTAAATGAATAAAACGAGAACTTATACATACGTATGTATATATACTTTTATTAAATTAACACAAAATAATTTGTTTAATTATTTACTTCATTCATCTGTGCTAACCGCTTTTCAACAATTGCTTTCATAAACTAATCAATTTAAATTTTTTACGGGCTTAATAAATTATTTTGACTACAAAGTTAATTAATATACTGAAGCGTTATATTGAGTATACAGTAATAAAGAAATATTCGCAATTAATTGTCCTGAAAAATTTACATATAAATTTAGGATATAACTATACTTCATGTGTAGATGTGTGCATGTTGTGTATGCGCGTGCATTCATGCGACTATACGAGCGGGAGTGCATGTGTGCGTACATATGCATGCGTGAGTGTTGCGTGTTTGTTTGCCGTGTGTAAGAGGCCTTTCTCTGCTGATACACACATGCACAAACGCATACACACACGCATACACATACACACTTATACCAAAATTTACCAAAATTACTTTATTAAAAACATTGAGAAACATTGAGAATTAGTTTAAATAAAATCTAACACATTACATTTTATATTGAAAGATACTGTCTATATAAAGATATTTTATATATAAATTACATGTATTTAATGATACTTTATGAATAAAGTATCTTTCAAAATATGAAATGTATGTGTGTATTAGATTTTATATTAAATGGCGTGTGTATGTGATTAGTATTATAAAGTAAAATATTTAACTATAAACTTTTTGATGAATTTTGAATCAAAGTTTTCTATAATTATATACTTAATTATTTGTATAATATTATTTTTATATCTTTCGTGTAAATTCCAACCAATTTCTACGGATGGCGCAAGGCGAAGTAAAATTTCTCCTTATTACAATTTTTATTATCCTGTATTATTACTCATTTTTTGTCTTAAATACATTTTTTAAACCAACCATTTTTAAAAAAACCAAAAATTATTGAACAATCAAGAAAATGTACTTAAAACATACACACAAGCAAAATATTATTAAAGAAATTATAATAAACATTTTCTGCAATGTTATGAAAATTTTGTAACTTTTTATTTTTTGTTTATATTAAAATACATTAAAAGTTTATAAAAGACAGTTTATACAAAAAGTTTATAAGAAATTAATAAAAAGGTAAGAATTTAAATATAGGTGATAATTATAAGTCAATAGTAAAAAATAAAAGTTTACATATACATATTATATATATAAAAATATTGAACGAATTATTTTTATTTTAAAAAGCTATTTTAAAAATGCACATTTTCGATTTCCTATTTTAAATGGGTGTTTCAAAAGCATTTTGCATTTTGCATTTTGAAATAAAAAACTTCCATTTATTTTACATTATCTATTATAAATGAGTATAAACCCTCATTTTGTATAAATCAATTTGATTCTGATAATAATAGATCCATTATAAGGCAGAGAAACATAATACACCATTTTCATAACACATGTGTGTACATAAGAATAATAGAAAACACTGCTTGCCTTGAAAAACTATGGAATCATATGTTATTAATATATACAAAATTAAATATATTATAAATGAAATGAATTACAATACAAAGAATCTGAAAAATAATCAAAGATCAAACAATGTTTCAGCTATTTTTATCTCGGCTCTTGTAGCGGCATTATACGGATAAATTTTGCTAACATTTTATTTGGCACATAATGCGTGCCTTCGAATTTACAAAAATAGCGACCTATTTTGTTATTGTCGATCCATTTCGGCGTTGTTAAAGTTATAGCGACTGAAATAAAAAAAAATAATTAAATTTATAATCACTAAAAGAAAGAAAGTAATAAATGAAATAAATAATAAAGAAATTATAATAAATAAAATAAATATAAAAAATATAATAATAAAATAACGGAAACAAAATAAAGTATTATTTTTTATATCCCAGAAAACATTTTGCGCGCAAATGTATACCTAGCCATTGCATTCTAAAGCAGCTCATATGGCGCAAGCAAAACTTTATCCTAATGCGTCGGCATAGTGATAGCAAAAAAAAGGTAAAAAAAGGCGACCAGTTAAGGGCACGCCATTAACAAAAATTATCCATTGCAAACCCATGTAGAATCCTATCCTATTGCAAACCCATGTAGAATCCTATGAAAAATTAACCATTGCAAACTCATGTAGAATCCTATGAAAAATTAACCATTGCAAACCCATGTAGAATTGTATTAAAAATTATCCATTGCAAACTTATGTAGAATCCTACATTGCAAACCCATGTACAATAGAATTGTATGAAAAATTATCGATTATAAACCCATGTACAATCGTAACAAAAGTAATGAAATAAAAAAAAATTGCGCCAAGTGAAAGTAGAAACTTGTACCAGTGGAAAATTAAAGTTGCAGACATATATAGAGTCGTATAATGAATCAGTAAAAATTTAAATTTGCAAATGTAGAATCGTACCATAAAAAAACTTATCTTTTAAAAAAAAGATAAACAAGATGCCAAGTCCATGCGCCATGTGAAAAAGAAACAAAAAAATTTTAGTTAAAAAAACTGGGAGTGCTGCTAAATAATATTCTAACAATATTAAAATTAAATTGTTACTTTTAAACTCATTACAGTTAAAATATGTTTTGTGTTTAAATTAATTAATGTTACTTTAAGGTGCATTGTAATTTTGAAACTTAGCAGCGCGCCCAGTTTTTTTAACTAAAATTTTTTTGTTTCTTTTTCACATGGCGCATGGACTTGGCATCTTGTTTATCTTTTTTTTTAAAAGATAAGTTTTTTTATGGTACGATTCTACATTTGCAAATTAAATTTTTACTGATTCATTATACGACTCTATATATGTCTGCAACTTTAATTTTCCACTGGTACAAGTTTCTACTTTCACTTGGCGCAATTTTTTTTTTATTTCATTACTTTTG